ATTCTCTAAACCTTAACTTAAATTTGACAGCAGTATATCCTTGTCATTCTCTATACAGAATGAAAAGGACAGACTGATGTTAAATTTAGTTTTAAGTTTAGAGAATCACGCCAGAATCGGCACCTCTGAATGACTAAACATTCCGGTGTCTGACTCCGAAACCTGCGCGTTGCCTGCTGCCACTATGGCCACCCTGCTTTAACTACACTGTTTATTTCTCGCGCTTGTTTTCTGAGTCTGACTCTGAATCTGAGTGCACTCTGGCCGCACCCTTAGTCAATGCAAAGGCTTCTGCAGTTCTGCACAAACTCCGTGATTGTTTTCAAAGAGTTTATCTCCGACTCCCCAAGGAACTTCAATGTCGGAGTATATTTTATTTGATGCTAGTATGAGCGTATCGTATCTTCCCTTTTTGTTTTAATCTAGGACTATTAAAAATAACATTTTCGAAAATTTACCATGTTTAAACGTAATTTTTTTTGAATTCATTTTACACATTTTACAAATGTAAAGAGGGCCGCCCGGCAGAGACGTAGCTGCGTAGTAAGAACAGAGGTCTTGATAAGTGTTGCCAGGTCTCCCGATTTTCTAAAATTCTCATGTTCGACTGTTTTTCTACATGAATCTGTTTTTCTTAGAATACGAATTTCTTTTTTAAATTGCATGTTGAGTTGCATTTTCCGCTATTAATAATGAAGGTAATCTTAATTATTATAAAATAAATGTTATTGTCAAAAAAATGAGCTTTGAGGGGCGACAGAAGCCACAGAAACGCATTCGCTACTGGCCTATATCTTGATTTGATTTACAAATTTTAGGGGCGGGGGGTACTAATCGTAAAAAAATCTTCTCTGCATTACCCCTAGCACGAACCCTTAGCGAATTCGAATATTATGCGATTCAAATAAGAATAGGAAAGCCAATGACCTCCATCTGTCAAATGTCGCTTGAAAAGTACGGTTTGCAAAAAAAAACTCGGAACACTTTTTTAGCACTCGGCTGATTCTAGAATAAAAACCAAACATTTTAAAATAAACAATAACAAATGTTGATAATTAATATAAGTTGACTATTTTTTTCATTTATTGAGCTTTGGATAAGAATGGTTGATAACCTAAATCGTCAATCAAATGTTATTTTATGTTGCGTTCAGAAACTGGATTTAAAACTTTTGTTTACATTATAGGATGCATGTTTGTATGTAACCTGCATGATTATTCCTAACTTCTCCGGCGGTAATGCAGAGATAAGCGAAATTGAAGAGCTAGATTCTGATTAATGTTTATTTTCACACAGTCTTAATAAAGGAATACTATTAAAAATCGGTTGTGTTCTTTCTCAACCCTATTAAATTAATTTTATTTAAAAATCTGATGTTTTGTCTTACTTAATCTTAGTAAATAAGTTTTATTAAATAGCAACATTTTTTTGCTCACTTTATTTGGTTTGAATTGACAGCTATGACGCCCATTACTAGGGTTGTAACGGAGCCCTTCTTAGCGTGTCCGTGATGCTAGCGTACCCACGATCAATATACGGGTTTTCGTTATGCCATTAAATAGTGCCAAATTAGTGTAAAAATAATAAAAATAGTGCCTCTTTAATTTAAGAAATAAATACCATTTTTACTGTGTACGCTACCATGACGTCAAGCTAGCGTACCCATGGCCGACCCCAAGAACGGCATATATTTAAGCAACGAAATTGACACACAAAAATAGTTCGCAAATAGTGCCCTGGTTTTACAAAATTTCATAATCAATACTCTTAAAGGACCAAAGATATTGAACTAAACATTCTTAGCTGGCGTCAACCTGGCGTACCCATAATAGTTCTCATAGAAAATGAACTTTTCTCGTTATCAATTCTATATGTATAAATAGTGTGTCAAATAGTGCCTCTAACAGTAAAAGTATTTTATGTGAATCCGCATCACAACAATACATAAAGAGGGTGTTAAATTCTAGGAACAAATGTATTGTAGTACAGTTACACACAAAATTAATTTATGCACTAAGAGATTATATATATATGTGTATTTTTACTAAAATAAATAGGTACTTTTTATAAAAAGATATTATATTTCAATTCGAATTCACCAATCATAAATTCATATAAGAATTTCAACCTACCTCCCTACTAAGTACCTTACTTACCTACTATACTACGAAAATATTATCACTTCTGTACATGACTGTACTTCATATATAAAAATAATTTATTTGCTTTTTTTATATTGTTTTACTGCGAATTAACATAAAATACTTTTACTGTTAGAGGCACTATTTGACACACTATTTATACATATAGAATTGATAACAAGAAAAGTTAATTTTCTATGAGAACTATTATGGGTACGCCAGGTTGATGCCAGCTAAGAATGTTATGTTCAATATCTTTGGTCCTTTAAGAGTATTGATTATGAAATTTTGTAAAGCCAGGGCACTATTTGCGAACTATTTTTGTGTGTAAATTTTGTTGCTTAAATATATGCCGTTCTTGGGGTCGGCCATGGGTACGCTAGCTTGACGTCATGGTAGCGTACACAGTAAAAATGGTCTTTATTTCTTAAATTAAAGAGGCACTATTTTTTTTATTTTTACACTAATTTGGCACTATTTACGCAGTATTTAATGGCATAACGAAAAACCGTATATTGATCATGGGTACGCTAGCATCACGGACACCTTCTTAGCGGAGGCGGAGGCGGATGCGGAGGTGATGAGTTTCACTTCCGCGGATGCGGAGGTTAACGGAGGCGGAGACGGAGGTGAAAGTGGATTTAGAAAAAATAGTAATTTATGGTTCATCAAAACTATTAGAAGTACAAAGTATTTATTTCAAATACGTACATTTAAGTAAACATATAAACAAACATTACCTTCTAGTGATCAAAATTAAGGAGAGGTAATGTGTTGGGTTGGGATGTCATGTATCCCAGATTTTTTTTTGAAGATTTTTAATAATAATAAAAATCTTTATTTGCAATTAAATAGTTTGTACAGAACAATGTAAAACGTTAACAACTACATTATTCAGAGACTGTGTCGCAGTTATTAGCGCCCCACCTCGAACATCATAACTAGTAACAATAAATACTAAAAATACTAACTTTAACATTTATAAAAACGTTTTTGCGTATGTGTTTGTGACTGTGTGTGAGTGTATGTGTATGTGTGTGTGTGTCTCTTTGTATTTTGTAGATTTACATAATTTTTTATTTATTATTTTACTGTATAAGAGATTCGATATCTTCATATCGAAGGCTAAGCAGCCACTCATTTAAAACACTTTTACATTCACGATATGGTAAACTGTAAATATGTAATTTATAATTAATTTTATTGTACAAAACTGAGCTAAGGTACAAATAATGCCGTCTAGCCAGCATCGTTGTGCAGTTTTCAATCCTGAAGATTCTGTTAGCTAATCTAGTATTCAAAGCTAACTCGGGATTATAAGTGCAGGATATGTGCTTACGCAAGATAACATTAGAAACGTATAGTTTTCGAACCGATAGAACCTTCCATAACTCATAAAGCTGAACTGTTGAGTACCAAATAGATTCTTCTAAGGACAGCTGCCTTTTTGCTTGTTGTAATGGTATAACGGACGTAGACTGTTTTGATTTCTCCTGTTCTTTTCCTTTTTCTGCTCCACACAGTTCTTCGTATTTTTCTTTATGCATAGACTTTAAATGCCCTCTAAGTGATGTCGTCCGACCTTTCCTTGAATAATTTTTCCCACAGGTTTTACATTTCGCAAAATTATTATCTATTTCTACAAAAAACTGCCAAATCTCACTTGTTTTCGGCTTCATCATGTAACTTAATTAAGCAGAATAATTATTTTGCACTAAATCACTTAAAACAGTCGCGATTCAATTAGAATTAGGTATTTTACATCGGTAAAACTTCGTAACGTCCAACTCGTACAAACAATTGGACAGGTTGATTCCTGTCGTGTATCATTTGACAAATGACAAACGCCCGCCCCCACCCCAACCGTGTTCCTGCCGCGCACTTGTTGAATCTTGACCATTTCGCGCGAAACACGCGGGTGGACGGCAGTCAGCGTCAAACTTCGCTCGCGCGTTATTGCTTTATGATTATGTAAATAAACCTCCGTTACAACTCCGCAAAAATTGTACGGATGCGGAGGCGGAAGCGAAGGTACGATTACATGCGGAACTTCCGCAGTAACGGAAGCGGAGGCGAAGTTCCGTTACATCCCATTCTAAGGGTGCGGCCAGAGTGCACTCAGATTCAGAGTCAGATTCAGATTCTGAAAACAAGCGCGAGAAATAAACAGTGTAGTCTAAGCAGGTTGCCTGCTTTTTCTCGCGCTTTGTTTTCTGAGTCTAAATCTGAATCTGAATCAGGAGTGCAATCTGGCCGTACCCTTCGACTACACTGTTTATTTCTCGCGCTTGTTTTCGAAATCTGAATCTGAATCTGAGTGCACTCTGGCCGCACCCTAAGTTGAATCGCATAGTAGTTTGCAAACAGAAATGTCAATGTCAAATTTTGTATGGAAACTTGAACAGCAGCGCCACTTTGGACGTAACGGGAACTAAAAATCAGTACACATTTGACAATGACATTTCGGAACCGCAAACGATACGAATTCGATATTGGTTCGTACTAGGGGTGTGTCTGTGTCTTTTTTTGTAGCTCTTTCCATACATCTACTTCTTTTTTCTATAGCGCCTCCCGATTTTTAAAAATCGAACTGCACAGTTGTAATTATTTTCATCCCGTCATCGCTGTCATCATCAGCTGTCAGATCAGATGATAAATTATTTTGATGTGTTTTGTTTTGCGAAATCCACAAAAGTGTACCGCCATTTTCTAAAAAGAAGAAGAAGTTTTGCAAATGCAAATATTAATCCAACACGGAGTGCTTTCTTTTTAAAGGTAAAACCAGAAGTATTGAGGGAAAGACAATAATGTTCCATTACGAATAAATAGTGTAAGCAAAACTAGTACAACTATACCTACATGAGTTTGGACCTAGAAGAAGCTAACGAAACCCAACAACTAATGCAAAATGAAATCGAAGAAGAAGATCCAAAGATATCTCAATCAGCAACATCTCCCGTGACGAGTAATAAATTGTCGAGCGAAGCAGCAAGCCTTAGCTCAAAAAACCCTGGACTTTTGCCGACTAGCACAGGAAATAACAGTGTGAATGATTCGGCTAAGGTTTCATATGTTAATGAAAAGCGATTCCAGCGTGAAGTTATGCGTTCTAATTACAACAATAGGCCAAAGCATATTCCGAAAGAAGCCCCAGATGTGAAACACATGGAAAAAGCTTTATTAGTGTTATTAGATGACTTTCACACTGGCAAACTTAGTGCTTTTAGTTCAGGATGTAGTATGGAACAAATGATTAACATAAGAGATCAACAGGAGCATTTAGCACGACTACATTTTCGACTCTGTGCTGATGTAGAGAAACCAACAGATGAAAATTTTGATAGTTCAGCTTCACGAGATAAAATGGCACAACTGGTACAAAGCTTGGAGCAACTATCTGCCTCTATAGAGCATCTTCATTCAGATGAAAATGTAAATATTTTCAGTGAAGATAAAGCAAATGTGCAGAATACTTGAAAATAAATTAAAGCAAAATGTTGAATGTAAAACAATGTTAGCAGTGTAGTTGGCCATATTTGATGATTAAAATTATATATACCTAATAAAATAAATATAATATACATTGCATATTATTAAATGTTATTTAAATAAAGTTTGACTCATCTAATTTGTTGTATGAATTGAGTTGTATAACAATAAATTCGTTTCTATAAATTTTCAAGTGATCCCGTGTTTTAGTAAATACTATGAATATAAATATGGATTATCTTTTTAGATCTTAGAATAAAAACATTGTTTAAATGTAACATTTTTACCCATTGTTTTATTTTACAAATATACATTGTAATCAATATTTGAGTGGTCCTTATGGCATCAGAATCTTAATTTTTTAATTTATGTAAAGGGTTCACAGCGAGTCAAGTCTTAGCTTATAGTTTGATCTAACAATTGTTTAAGCATAGACCTGTGCAAAAACAACAATTAACTTTTTGTATTATGGTTTTTATAATTAAATCTGCTGTTTTGTTGTTTAAGATTGGTAACTGTTAGCCTATACAGGATATAATCATGAAACAAATGCCATGGATATAATAGGCAACATAATTGGACAACCACAACAATTATTTAGACCCAAATTAAGCAGAGCTTGGTTTATATTGACAACCTCCATGGCTGCTAGGTATGTACACCAGGTTTCAAGTTATTGCCTACTCGAGAGGTCCACAGTTTGAATCCTGGTGGGAGCAACGTGTGTGATGAATACAAACACTTGTACTTCAGCCATGGATGTTAAATATGTATTTCTATATAAATATACCTATATATGTATTTTCCCTAGTAGTATTCCATAACACAAGCCTGCAGTGCTTACTTTGGGGCTAGGTATATTGGCCTGAGTGTTGGAAATATTTATTTATATTAGATACTTATCATAAGATTATTATTTTATATAACTATAAAAACAATAACAAACTAAAATTTACTATTAAATAAGATAAGAATAAGAAATTCAGGTAACATAATTTACATTAAATGTAAAATATAAAATTACTGTGAAAAAAATTATTGATGAAGTAATTATTTTCTGGTGGGCTCATTTTTATATATACCTTGTTCTTTTAATAATTTAAATATATTTGAACACAAGAAATCATTGTAGGGAAACAGCATTTTTAAAACATGAGAAGATATTTCAATTTGAAACAGTTTACTTTCATTCTAAATAAATGTTCACAGAAAAATTTGATGAAATCCTTTTCCTCTCAATGGTTTTCTACAGGTAGGACATCTTTTGCCACTTACTGTAAGTGCTGCACTTATGCAGCTCATACAAAAAACATGACCACACCTTGTTGATGCTACTGCAACATTTAAAAGACTCTCCATGCAAATAGGACAATCTCCGAGTCCCTTTGACGTTGGGGCTGGATTAGTATTAGTTTCCATTTGTGATGGTGTGGGAGATGACACTACTTGTTGAATATTGTTCATATTATTTTGATATTTCTTTGCAATGTCATTCATGGACTTAAAAAATGAAAGGATACACATTTCTTTCTGATGATCATGAGATTGACAATTTTGTTTACTGCATTGCAACATAGCAGAAGCTGCGTCATTAGAATTTAAGATGTTCCTAAATACACTATCACTATTAGCTTCATTTAGATTTGTAGCCACAGTAACTGTGCTAAGAACATTACAGTTAGGTAATATATTTTGTCTTGCTGCTGTTATTAATCTTGCAAGTGATTCATTCATTCTTGGACTTAAAATCTCTTGCTCAGTTACTTCAATGACAGGTTCAACTGTACTATCGTCAATGTTGACACATCTCACTGGAGTTTCAATATTATTCGATTGAATTGTGTCTACTAAAGTAACATGATTTTTATAATTTGATTTACAATACTTCTCAATCACAGCTTTATTTTCTGCAATCACATCATCTACATCTATAACTTCTATGATATCACTGTTATTAGGTTGGCTTAAGTCTAAAGAACAGTAATAGTCATCTACTGGAATAACAGAATCATCTATGTTGGAAGGGTTATTTTCAATAATTTCTATGCTATCATCTGTACAGTCAATATGCGACAAATTACTTGCTACATTATCATTATTAATGATTTCAGAAGGAGCACTATCATTAATCATAATACATTCCGAAGTAAAAGCTGTACTTGGTTTTCTTAATTCTGTGAAATCATCTATTATTATAGTTTCAGATGGTTGGTTGATTATTTCAAGATCATCAGTTTCCTCTGATAGAGATTGATTAACAAAACTTTCATTGAAACGAATATCATTTTTATGGATTGTTTCATTGTCTTTTGATGTACTAGGTAGTGGGGAAAATGATTGAGGCCTACCACAAGTTATTGGGGAGAAGTACTCATAAGCAACAGTCTTATTACTATCGGAACTTCCATGACTATTAGCATCATCAAATTCCTTTAACGTTGCAGCTATTTCGTCACTTTTAGCATTAAATATAGATTTTGAATACTTTGCAGTTTTTGTTCGTTTTGCTCTCTGCTTAGGATGCTCATCTTCATCAGTATCAACATCATTTAAATTAATGCCATAATCCGCATCACCTTTGCAGAAGTTTGTTGTTGGCTTACTTGGCACTCGAGGTCGTTCTGTGTTTCCCACAATATAAGGTATACCTGATTTTTTTCTTTTCTTTTGTGGAATCACAGGTGGAGGAGGGCCTTCGTTAAGAAGCACCACAGGATCAGGTAAATTTGAAATAAAATCTAGCATTTTGTCAGCAATTTTTTTGATAGTATCTGGTGATTTGAGTTTGGCTTCTGTAATGATCGGGGTTGAACATGTGTCACTCTTCGTTTCAGGAGAGGCTAAATTTGTGTTGTTTACCTTCGTTTCTTCAGCATCATCATCAGAATCATCAAACATTTTCTCGAGATCTGCTAGGGACGGCATCGGTTTGCCGTTGCCGCAGAGTCTTTGCCCGTTGTCGTTAGCTGTACGTATTCTAGACTTGGTGAAACTTCTATTTGTTTTAATTTTTTGTACTAATTGTTTTGATTTTGCGATACCTTCGTTATCCAGCTTGTTTTTAAAACCTTTTGAACGTTGTTTGCTACTTTTAAACTGTGATACGGGGGTGCGTGCGTTAGGACTGGTTTTTTTTTTATCTTTGTTTTTAGACATATTGTATACAACTTCAGTGTTTGTGATAATAATAACAAATCGCAGGTAGTTATATTTATTTATTTTGGCTTGGGATACTGTTTTTTAGTCGAAGGTAAAGTATTACTCCACTCCACTCAGTTTATGCCTGCTTTAACGCGCGATACAATAACAAGAAAGCACAGCAAGAAACAAGACACGGACAACGGACGACAATCTACAATCAAACATTTTTTTTTTACTTTTTTTTTTTGTATGGCTTCGCACGGTTTGTGCATTTTAGCCAATTTTGTAATTATTATAAAGGTTAGGAAACGTAAGGAAAAGAAAAGGAGGGTTTTCGGGATTTTGAATATTAGGATCAGGAGGGTATACATATATTAGTACAAGACTAAATTAAAAAATATATATATAAAAAGAATTAATTATTAACATATTTACAAAATAACACAATAAAGATATACACAAATTATATTTATATTTTAATATTATTATGGATGATGAAATTGGTGAGGCAATTATATACAGATGGTTTATTAGTGGACAATAAGGTAGGCACAGAAGTAGGGAAAGGAATATGAAGGGACACAAGATCATTGAAAAAGAAGGAGCGGTCATATTTTAAACAAACAAAGAATATGTGGTTGAGATCACCAACCATACCCATGCCGCAGTCGCATATATTGTTGTTAATAATGCCAATTCTAGTGAGATGATCAAGAGTGCAGACATGTCCAAGACGCATGCGAATTACAATCGAGATTTATTTCTTACCATACTTGGATTTACGGAATCATGGTTTAATAGGAATTTTACGGCCAATCTTCAAACAGTGCTGCCACCTTGGATTTTTTTAAGGCGCCAAGTCAAAGGTAAAATATCGCCAGATTTCAAAAATTTGGATTTAATAAAATCCACCAAAATCCGCTACATTACATCTCTGATAACAAAAAACCCTTATTTAAATAAAAAAAACCAGTGAATATGTATGAGATGCTACAGAAATAACTGTATCCCGTAGTCGTCATAAATTAGTAAAATTTTGTTATTTAAAAAAAATGCCAATATTGTTTTTACTAACGTAAAACTTTTCCGAGCGTTACTTTAGTAGTACTAGAGAATGAAATAAAACCAGGTAAATATGTATTTACATTCATTATTTATAATCAAGAAATAAATCTTAAACAAAATGTGAAATTTAAAATTCAATATTTTTAAATGTTACATCTTCTTTAATCTCATCGTCGTTCACAGACGCCGACGCTTCTGTCAATGAAGCCGATGTCGAAGCTGAAGATGTTTGGTTGTGGTTGTAATGGTCTTGTCTTCTCAAATTTACTACTCTTGCTAATAATTCTGTTTTACAAAATGAACAAAACGCCTTCGCATCAACACCTGCTAAAGGTTTAAGCCAGGTTTGGAATTCGTCGAGTGATTCCCATTCTTTTCTATACTTTTGTATGTTCTTTTTCTTGAATAGAATTTCCATAATAACATATAATTGAATACTCTAAACATACAGCTTCAGGAGTTCACACACTATTACAAACGTTTCTATCAAATCAAATTTTTACACTTTTTAACAATACAATGAACGCGAGCCTAATTCCTGAAACAGAATGAACGATTGAAGGAAGCCCTTAACAGACAAACGCGTGCAGGAATTCCCTTGTAACCATAAGAGTAACCATAGAACATTATGAAATTTTGGAAAGTTAGGGGTTTTCTCCCTTTAAAATATGTTGCTAGATTTCATGTTAAAAAACCACTAAAAAAAATATACCCGCTAGATAATGAAAATATACCACTAGAAGCCGTGAAAAAGCACCAGTTCTGGTGGAAAAACCACCAAGGTGGCAACACTGTCTTCAAACATTGTTTTTTTGGTTTTTTGTCGTTCGACTCTATGGCTCACATATTGATTTTGACAGTTCTTCACCCCCTCTGTCGCAGTCCCAAACCCCTTTGATACTATACACTGTGGCGACACTATGGATCAGTTCAAGTGTCAATCGACTGAATTTATGCGTTGAATAATTTCCGTATTAACTTATTGTTTTCTCAATATCTTAACTGTAACAGTTTTCTTAAATCCAGATCAATGTACAATATTTCCAGTGTTATGGGTTGTGAAAGTAGACGAAAGGACATTGCATTTTATAAAATACCCAAATCTGAGACTCCTTGGTTAAAGTGCTTGAAGTTGCAACATTTACAGAATTTCAATTCTGTACAACTTGATAAGTGCTTTGAGTGAGCCAAACACTTTGAAAAACGGTGCTTTACAAGTTAACAAATAAGATCTCGATTGCATCCAAGTTCTACCCCAACATTGTTCACTGACAGTGAGATTAAAAATGCAGTTTCTGATGAAACCGGTACGTATTGCTTCATTGTTTGTAGGTAATACAAACCTGTTGGAAGTAATTATAAACGTGGTCATGCAGGTGTCATCAAGGTCGTGGATAAACCAGAGAAGCTTTCGGGTGGTTAGGTTACGTGTATTGTAAAAAAAACTCTTTTTTTTTATTTATTTATCATTATAAACAGAAGTTACAATTTTATATTTACAGCATTAGAAAAACCACAGAAGTTTGTAGCAATGCTAATTACACGCCAGGGACTAGCTTAAATAGTAAATTAAATACAAAGCACTGTGTTTATAGGATACAGTTAGGTGCATTCCAAGGTCTTATCATAATAGTCTTTCAACTTGTATTTAACATTCAACGGTGTTAGACAATTGACTAAATCTGCGTTTAGTTCGTTGATTATACGCGGGACTAGGAAGGCAGTAGTTCTCCTACCGTACACGTTATCTTATATCTTACTACACCAGATGCCAGTATGAACACAATTTTATCCTGTTTGCTTAAAAGAGTGACTTGTTATAGGAAAAGTGAGCTCTGCGGCTGAAGTACTAATGGATCATGACTATTTAAGAAAAAGGATGCATCAAGATTATCATTCTTACTGTAAAGTTAAATTGTGAAGAAACAGATGAGATCCACCACAAACTGGTAAGTGAACATAATATTAAACCATAATGCTGTTATAATGTATCTATTTAGCATTGTCCCATGCTATATATTACACATTAAATAAGTTATTTGTACATAATATTGATTGCAACAAAAATTTTGTTTACAGGTTGCGACTATATTCTTTGATGAGGTGGCTTTCGAATCAGGGGTCAATTATAACAGACACAAGGATGTCATTAATGGCTTTGTCCATTTAGATGAAAGAATGAATGAATATGCAGATCATGCCCTGGTCTTTATATTGAGAGGTGCTGTACACAAATAGAAGTCACCTGTCACATTTTTCTTTTATAAAGGAGCAACTTCAACATAGCAACTGAAGAAAATTATAAAATATTTTATAGCAGTGTCAGATGCAGGGCTAATAAGAATGTAATGTAGATAAACATTCATTAAATAATTGGATTTCCATAAGAGAATATAAAAGTATTTGTTTCTTAGGTTTTCACGCACATCACGCATTAAATAAAACTAGTTTTTTACGGGTTAATGCACGAAAACTTTATTTATTTATTGACGTTTCGTAGCCTTTACAGGCTATGTCATCGGAATCAAATTTTATTTAATTTTGTCGAGCTTCCTTCGATAGACTTTTATTGAGCATTCGGTTATTTCATTGTTCGATTTTTAAAGTTTTTTTCTATGTATGAATTTATTACTTAATTTAGTTAATAAAGTATTTTATTTAAAATTCTTTTTTGTAATTTTGAGTTTATTTATTTGACCCTAACTACCATAAACTACCACCGGTTCCAAAATTGGGAGACCTTTCTTTTTTCTCTTTTTCTTTTTCTGGATTTTATCTCCTGTATAATGGGTTCCCAAGCTGGTGGTATATACCAACCATTTTCCCTATTGAAATTTGGATAATTTTTAATCTCAATAGCCTCGCGTATCATTCTAGGAACGAATCGCTGCTCAGTTGCAAGGATCTGTGGTTTATCAAATCTAATGTAATGGTTTGTTCCCCCTAATGCATGTTCATAATACACTGCAGACTTATTTTCGCGCCTATGTTTCATATCTGCGATATGTTCCTTTACCCGAGTCCCTATACTCCTCTTTGTTTGCCCGATGTAGGAGAGCCCACAGTCGCATTCAAGTTTGTAGACACCAGTAACTTGAAAGGGTATATTGCATTTGACCGGTCGTAGAAACTGGTTGATCTTTGGTGGCTTGAAGTAAGTATTGATTGAAGCACGCTTCAGAATCCTCCCAATCTTGTCAGTGACTCTTCCATGTAAGGTAATGTAGCAGGTTGTCGGTCGACTGTGTTAGGTTTGGCGCGACTGTGACGGCGACGTGGTACATTCAGGTTATTATCCTTCAGTACTCGCTCGACATGCTGAAGTTCAGCTGCCATGTGTTGTTTGTCACAGACACCCCGTGCTCTCTGAAACAAAGAGTTTCGACGACGTAGCCTGCAAAGGCTACGAAACGTCAATAAATAACTAAAGTTTTCGTGCATTAACCCGTAAAAAACTAGTTTTATTGAATATAAAAGTATTAAAACAATAAAATTGACCTAGCCATCAGAGCAAGCAGTGAGGTTATTTGGTATAATAAATGAGGAAACAAACACATACTTGGAAGATCAGCCTCAAAACTGTAATTTAATAAAAACGCTGACATCAAAAATGCGCTCCAAGTATATATTTGATATCCTTAGTGCGCGGTTCACAAGAATGCGGTTCTAAATTACTTTATAGAATATCCTTTAATAATATCTATCCATAAGAGGCTAGTTGACTCTTTTTGGAAAAAGGTTTTAAATGGTTAATAAATGTTCTATTAGACCGAAAAAAATGTGTTGTATTTTTTTTAAACCTAGAAAGCTACAAATCTTTAATTTTAAAATAAACTTTTCATGGACATACAAAAACGCTGTCGGCCATTTTAGTCTATAGATTATCTATGCTATGACGTGAACTGTGGTAAACAAAAACTCGTAAACACGTAGAAAATTACTTTTAACTG